GCCGAAGGAGGCCGGGGCCGCGGGCGCGCGCGCCGCCGTGGGCTCCATCAACGCCAGGACCACCAGCGACATCGCCAAGGAGCTGGAGGAGCAGTTCTACACGCTGGTCCCCTTCGGCCGCAACGAACTCCTGTCGCCGCTCAAAGACAGCGACGAGGTCAGGGCCCTCTGGGTCAAAATCGACCTGACGCTGCTCTCCAGGGTCCCAGAGCACCTGCCCCAGGAGCCCGGGGTCCCGAGCGCTGCGGCCGCCAAGGACCCTGAGGGGGCGCCGCCCAGCCACGCGCGCGACGCCACGCCCGAAAAGGCGCTGCCCAAGTCCAAGAGGAAACGCAAGGTAGGGGGGCCCCGGGGCGGGGAGAGGGCGCGGGGTGGAGCTCCTCGGGGCAGGTGCGGACCGAGGGTGGTGTGGTGCACTGTCAGCCCGGCACTCGAGAGGCCGAGGCGGGAGGATTGCTGCGAGTTCAAGGCCAGCCTGAACTGCTGTGTATAGGGAGACCTTGTCTCAGAGAGCCCGACCCTCAAAAAAAAAAGATAGATAGATACACATTTCAAGGGTAGGTACGTGTGCTTAGCACATTTTAATTCTTCTTAGTTCCTTTCCCATCTTCTCGCTGCTGCCCCACCCCCTTTCATTTTCAAAAGATCCTCTCCCTGTTTCCTATTACCTATCTTTTGTTTCCTGTAATTATTTTATACTTTGGGCTTTTCCTATAAGAGAAGTTATGCAGTACTGAAGCTTGCATGTCTGATTTATTTCACTAAACATTGTGGTCTCAAGGTGCAGCCATTTTCCTACAGTCTGTCCTTCTTTGCGGCAGAGTAGTACTCCCTTCTCATTTTACAATTGAGCCCTCCCCCACGCAGTGGGGGAGAGGTCTCACACACACAGGGAGTATTCAGTGTGGGCAGGCACAAGCTCAGCAGTGGATGTATGAGGGAGTCAAACATGTGGTGAACCCCATCAGAGCTCTTGCCAAGACATGGGGTCGATCAGGGAGGACTTCCAGGTGGAGAGGGCTGGAAACAGGGTTCTGGGAGGAGCGACACTGAATTAAGCAGAAGCCCCAAGATGGAGTGGTACCGGGACAGAGGAGCAGGGTGAACGGTGAGGCCGGAGTGGGGCAGGCAGGTCATATACCCAGAGAGCCCGTGGCATCATCGCAGAAAGCCAGTTCTGAGGGCTTTTCTCCCCTCCTGTGGCCGCGTCTTGGAAAGTAACCTGGACCACAGTAAGTGACAAACCAAAGACTGCAGTATTTATGAGTAGTTCCAAATTTAGGGCAAAGCATCACCGACAACAGTGAATATGCATATACAACGTACAGCCGCACAATTTTAAAAAGTCCTCAGAGTAAAAGGCGCATTGTCATTAGCCCTCCTCAGAATCTTCCCCTGGATTTGAAAACACTTATCCCATCCTTCTTACCATTTTCTGAAGCAGTTCTGGAAGTGCTCTTTCGTGAGTGTCTTTAGTTGCACTCTCCTGCCTGCCTCAGTGTCCTCAATTGATTCAAAATATTTACTTTTCGTGGTCATTTTGATTTTGGGGAAGACCCAGAAGTCACATAGTGCCAGAACCAATGAATAAGTTGGATTAGGACACACTGTCATGTTTTTATTTGACAGAAATTACCATAAACATTTTTACTGTTCCTACTAGCTTTATGCATAACGGTTAAAAACGTAAACATTTGAAGCTAAATTGACTTGCTCGAGTTACATCCCTGCAGAGGCAGAACCAGGAAAAAACAGGCCCCAGAGTCTTGCAGTAAGACATCAGCTGTCTCAGATTCTTGTTTAAGGAAGACGGGAGTAAGGTTTGTCGTCTTCCGGCCAGGATCACTTTGAAAGCATGGAGAAGGCACCCAGTCTCCTTCTGACAGTCGTCTTCATGACCTAAAGGGCACCATCAGCAGGGAAATCTATTATGAAATGCCCAAGTGTACTGTTCGTGCAGTACACTTAATTTATCCCTATAAAGAAGAATTTGACCCCCCTGCAAGAAAGTTCATGAAGAGAAGTAGCTTCACTAAAGCAGCTAACTTGCCTTTCCTTTTAGTAAAGATGCAAAGATGATTTTATCAACAGATCCCAGTATAATTTCCATTCACCTTTGGCCATTAACCTCAAGCCTCCCACTGCCACCCCGCGTTGGACCCTCATGGCCGTGAGAGGGTGCTCAGGCAGAGTGGAAAGTTTGTGGACCTCTGACCTCATAGCCATTTTTTATCATGTCCTGCTCTGGGGCCAGTTCCCTGGGCCCTGGACCTCCAGTGCTGTCCCACGGGGCTCCATGGATGTTAGCATGGTGGCTTCCGTCTTGAAACTCTTCGTTTTTGTCCTTCATTTGGGTTTTGTAGTGATATGGCAGGCATAGTTCTGTTCCTACAGGAGGACTCAGCCTGCTCTTTGGCCGATGGCACCCTCAGCTCTGTGCAGCGATCTCTTCCTCATCTTAGTCCAGGGACCACTCAGCCCTCACCCCCAGAAGTTACTCACATGCAGCACTGGAAGGGCCAAGGTTGGGGTTCCCACATTGCTGAGCCTTGGTCCAGGTAGTGAGGTGTCCCAGGAAGATAGTTGCAGTCTTCTGGTCTTTCACCATGGGGGTGTGGGGGGATGGGGCGTGGGAAGGGAAAACGCCTAGTGGACTTCCCCTCCCAGGCCAGCCCAGCCAGTCCCTGGTGGTGGAAAGGGGAGCCCCGTGCTGGCGGGCTGTACACGCGCACTAGTCCCAGGGCAGCCCCCGTCCTTGAGAGTCTTTGCTGCCCGCCCCCTGGGATCCCCACGTGGAAAGGAACACAGCACAAAATAGCAAATAAATACCACTGTGATGGGTCAGAATGGGGAACGAGGAAGTGTCTTCTATCCAGTTACTTTACAAAGTCACATGTTGGAGCATTTCTTCCCTGTCCCCCTTTCTTCCTGTCTGCCCCTGGACGATGCCACCCCCCTCCCTCAGCACTTGCTGTTGCTCAGTTTTTGTAGAATGAATCAATCAGTCACCTACAGATACATGTGGGTAGTAACTCTGAAGTCGGTGGGTAAATGGGTAGGCTGAGGGAGACAGATACACATAGATGCATAAGAAATATGCAGAGGGAGGTGTTGGTAGGCATAAAGATTTGAAATATGTATGGCTGTATAGACAAGCATGGGTATATAAAGAGATATACATGTCAACATATAAATAAACATATGTATAGACTTATATACAGTAGGAATACAAGAAAGATATGCAGAATGACATATATAAAGCCTGTAATGCTCTGATGTAAAGAGATGTATTGTCTGTAGCCTTTTTTAACATGAAAAACTTCATTGACACTAAGCCTGACAGCAGCTCAACTCTTAAGACCTAATGAGACCACAGACAGAAGAGCAGGAAAGGACATTTTCATAGCACTGTTATTCACCATCCTGGGGTGTTAAGGCCCCAGTACTGGGCACTAGAAGTGGAACCTCTAGGCCTGCCTCTCCAAGGTGCCAACCAAGTCTCATCTGCCAGAGTCCCAAGGCTGAGGACCAGGGACAGGAAAGTTTGGAATGGGCCCTCCCTGGGGCCACTGTTTCAGAGTGAGAACCCAGGAGCTTTGTGACACAGCCCCTGCTAGAAGGAAAAGGTGGTGGTGCATGTCTGTAATCCCAACACTAGAAGCTGAGGTGAGAAGATCACCTCAGTTCAAGCCCAACCTGGGCAATTTAGCATCTTTGCAAGACACAGTCTCAAAATTTAAAAAAGGGCTGATGATGTAGCTCAGTACAGAAGGCTTTGCTCCATACCCAGTACCAAACAAATGCACAAAAATATAATCCAAGTCCTATCTTACGATAAAGTACCTTAACAGTTCTAAGATGTCAGGGGCTGGGAATTCTGAACAAAACTAAAGGCACTAAGATGCAACCACCTCTGCCTTCCATTCACAAAAGGCACGACTTTCAAAGCAGAAAGACCCAGGCTGCCCAGAGAATGCTTGCTTTTTGTACCTCGTTGCGATGCCAGGCCGTGGCTGGAGCGGTGACGCTGAGGCTAATCCATGTGGATTAGAACACGTCTGCTCCCTGAGCAGCTTCCTTGTTCAGATGTCCCTCCCACAGCTGGATCAGGGCGTCGTGTCTTTCTCGCATTAAGCTGTAGACGGCAAACCTCACAGATTTCCTCCTTGTTCATTGAGGAGCTCACTGGGCTCCCACTCAGGGCATAGCAGGGAGACCTGGCTCCAGAGCTCAGCATGCTGGAGCTCACTGTAACCCTTTGAAATCCAGAGCTGATTGGCTTTTGTCCGTCCCCACATAGTGTGACAACGAAGATGACTACCGGGAGATGAAGAAGGCCCAGGGAGAGAAAGAAAGCTCTTCGAGGCTGGCCGCCTCCTCCAACAATACCTCGTCTGCCAACCACTGCAACATGAACATCAACAGGTAGGCACATTTCCTGGGAGGTGAAAATGAGCAGGAGAGGCCCCTGGGTCTGAAAGCCCCGTGCCATGTTGGGGTGGAGTCCAATTTTTTGATGACTTCCAGTCCAAGTCTGCAGACTTTGCTTCCCCGAGGCTTATAATGATGGCTGTGCTACAGCTGCCTATAGCCACTTCTCCGCCAGCAAATTCCAGTTACCAGGGACGCACAGTTCTGCATTCCTCCCCAGACACCCTCTTTCCCCCACCACAAAGAACTTAATAACCAGATCTTCAAGCCAGTGTCATAAAGTTAGCTACTAAACCCCCGAGAACGTTAAGCTCACTAAGATGCAGAAATGCACACTGTGAGCGGAGTCTCCATGCAATGCACCTGGAGCTCTTGATGCACAGTAAAATTGTGAAGTTAGAGAAGATCTGTGCTTCCACAGTCAAACAGCCTCTAAAGAAAGTCCTCTGAAGAAGGGGGCCTGGGGGACCCAGCGTGCACCAAATCTGCTGTGATGAACAGCTCTGCAGCCGGGCGAGGTCCCGGGGATTCATTGCAAGTGAGCGGCTTCTCATCGGTCACAGACGCTCCTTTCTTAGGTTTAGAAACAGCTCCACGCAGGAGCCACGTTTCCTCTGGCCTGACACTCCTCGCTCTGCCTGACGGTACACACAGTTCTTCAGCAGAGATTAATGCTTCCGCACAGTACATAAAAGTGTAAACGGAAAGGTTAGGAAAAGATGGACAGCGGCACTAAAGTTGGAGAGGAAATTGGAGCACAAGGGCACAGGCCCACTGCGGCCCCGCATCACCTTGGGAAGGAGACCAGGACACAGAAGGATGGCACAGGAGGGACGGTCGCTCCTGCAGACAGGCTCAGCCACAAGAAAGAGTGGCATCCCTAGCTGTGCAGAAAATGTGAAGGGGGACACAGTGGCCCCCAAAGAGTTTTGAATGTGTTGTATGTTGTGTGTGTGCTTCTTTGTCAGTGCATTTCCTAATCTCTCCAGCCAGTCTAGCAATGCCCAGCACTGCTCTGTAGCAGTGAATGTAAACACTGTTTCAAACTGTCTGGAAGAACTGGGATAGGGCGTGAAAACATCTGTGATACTCACTGGAGACATAATCACAGACCTCGCTCGCAGGGTTCCAGTGTAACCCTTCCTCTGGTTTCTCGGGCCTGCCTTGCCATTGAGAGAAATGTTCTTTTAGAGAGAAAATGAAGAGGTCCCTTTCTGCCACCCAAGTTCACAGACCTCAGATGAAAGACACTTGTCCTGGCAGAGTCTCTGACTGACAGTTTTGCGGATGCTATGTAATCCAACAGCGCATGTGAAAAACGCGTACAAGTTCTCTCTGGGAGCTGTGCCTCTTTCCTCTGGAATTGTGAGTGCTGCTGGCAGGTTTACCAGCATGACAGCACCGTCCCAGAGAGCAAGGCAATGACCCGTCAGATAAAGTTTCTTTGGTCAACCTGAATATGTAGACTTGCAATGAGGCGGAAGGGACAGTTGTACTCACAACAGTTTCAGTGTCATCATTGGTTTTCCATGCACAGTAAAAGTCATCAATCATATACAATAATAGGCTCTTAGAAATGGGTCTTTTTCCGTCTCATTTTAAGAAGCAGAGTCAGGCTGTTCATATCTGCCTGCAGCATCAGAGTCCTTACCCTCGGAAGATGAGCTACGTTGGATTCATGCAAAGCGGTTTTCTGTGGCACCTCTCCTTGCGTTTTTCCAAGTTGTTAGACATACAGTGCTCTTGGAACCAGAAGCCCTCTCTCCACACGGATCTGTTTGCATAACATTAAGAATCTTGGCTTTGTCATTTGTGCTAGAGGTCTGTGCTGTAATTTCTCTGCTCTGACCACCAGCTAAGGAAATTGCTTTTTGAAGTGACTTTAATGGCTTGTTTGCAGTGATAACCGACACCTGCAATTAAGAGATCATCACCCCAGGAATAATGATTAAATCTTGGCTAAATGGATTTACCTCTCCTTGTAAACTGACTGTATCAGGTGACCTCTAGAAAAATCTTAAGTTAACAGTGTTTGGGTTTATTTCAGGCTAATGCGTCTGCCCCAAACACTGCTTTTTTTCCCCCGTCAAAGTAAAATAATCGTGCAAAACCTAACAATATAGAGTCATTGCAGAGACTTACGAATAACAAATTTCATCTTCTCTGATGGATTTTGGAGAACATTATATTCATGGATAGTTTCAAAGGTAAAATGAGGAGCTACGAATCAGACGTAGGCATTCCTAATAACAGTTTCTATATTCTGTATTTGTTCCGATCAATGTCTGGCTACTCAGAAACTCAACAGTCGACAGTTGGCTACATGCTTTGCAGGTTGGCTATCCTGTGATTCTATTACTGTCTGTGTAACAATTAGCATAAGCTCAAACGCTGGCAAAGTCCTTTTGAAATTGGAGAATTCACTTATCACTGTTGTTTTGAGTTTCCCATTACTTGCTGCTTATGCTTGTGAAGAAAAGAAATGCGTTTGTTATTCTGAGATCCTCGGATGAAAAACTCAGAACATGAAAGTATTATATTATTCTGAGTCATGTCTTTCGGCACAAACTCCAGAATTACTAATCATCCTGATGGAAAGCGTAAGGGAACAAAGAATGCGATTTGCCTATTGTTTCTTGTGGCCCTAATGCTATACGTTGTTCCTAGTAATAATTTCCAATCAATTCTTCCTACCAGCAGGTTTTAAATGGGAGGTTGGGGTCTTATATAAAACATTTACCTTTCCCGGTGCCAGCTACGTGATAGTCCATTACTGTGCTTTCCTTTTTTCTCAGCTTGGCAATACCAGTAAATAAAAATGAAAAAATGCTCCGGTCACCCATCTCTCCCCTCTCTGATGCGTCCAAACACAAATATTCCAGCGAGGACTTGACCTCTTCCAGCCGACCTCATGGCAACGGTGTGTTCACTTCCTCCTCTTCCAACAAAAAGCCGAAGGCCGACAGCCAGCTGCAGTCGCACGCCGGAGACCTCTCGGTTCGTTGACACTCTTCCTTCCCCGAGTAGAATCAAAATAAATCACAATCCCCGCTTTCCTCTCTATCAGTGCAGTCTAAGCTCAGGCTGGAGATCCTGCGGGGAACCCCTGAAGGCAGCTTCTGGGGAGAACTGGTAGAGGTGAGGATCCCTCCACCTCCCCACAGAGAGCAGAGGGAGAAAGAACGCACCCGCAGGGGAATTCCAAACCTCCTAGATGTCAGAGCCCCAAGTAGCACTATCTCAGGGGAAAACAACCAACCAACCCCATACTGGGAAAAATCCCTTACCCTTTGGCCGTTGAATCTGGGGCTGAAACGCACACCAAATACTTGGGGCTGCCCTCCGCCTTCATGGACAGGTGCAGCGGCCCCAGTGGGGGATCCTTATGCCGCCCCTTTTCCAGGGGTCTCGGGGGCGATTCCAGCACTCCCCTGGGAGAAGCAGGCATTCATCGCTAGTCCGAGTTCGCAGCTCGGCCTGCTGTCCTGGCTGCAGTGCGATCTTGCGCTGTTTGCGGACTCTCTCTGAGTCCGTTTCTTCATCTGCAAAGTGACAAGGATGAGACTGAAAAGGCAGCATTCTCTAGAGACCCAGCCCCTCTGGAGGCCTCTGCAGCGAGCATGACATGCGTGTTCCCCTGCTGCACCCTCATCTGGTGGCGCTGGACCACACGGGCCCTCAGAGACAGTCCTGGAACCCAGACACCCTCTGAGTTCCGAGTTCCGCCGGGTCACTGTGCACATGAGACCCAGCTGGGCTTTGTGAGGCTGGCAGAGAGGTGACCCTTGAGGGCAGGACTGAGCAGAGAAAGATGCGGGAGGACACAGTAGTTCATGCTTTAGCCCATGAATTAAAGATGCAAGACAGTTGGCAAAAGGTCACACAAGAGCCTCAATCTTACCACTTCCCAGATGCATAGTCCTCTGCACCTCATTCACAGTCTATTATCTTTAATTCTAGGCTGAAAGACTCTAGAAAGGCTTTATTAGAAAGTCGTGGAAGAAAAAACTTCCCACAAGTATAAAAGAAAACTTTGGGGAATGGATTTGAGACAGGGTCTCCCTTATGTAGGTCAGGCCAGCCTTGAACTCACCATATAGCCTGGGCTGGCCTTGAATTCATGGTGATCCTCCTGCCTCAGCCTCCTGAGCGCTGGGATTAGAGGCACACACCACCTCAACCAGTATAACAAAACTTTTCTTTCCTCTAGATCCCTTATATCACAAACAGCTGTGATATGCAAAGAATATGCAAAGAATTACAAGTTACTTACAGATTTTACTTAGTAATCCGTTCACCAAACAGCTGCTTACTGAGCAAGTACTTATGTGCTAGGCTCTTTGCTGAGTACCAGGCATACAGTGATGGTCCAGAAGCTTCCATCTGTGCCACAGGAAGCTCGCAGTCTAATGGGGAGAGAGCTGGAGACAAGGCATCAGGAAAGCCCGAAGTTATATCCGTAATCACGGCCAAAAAAGAAACACAGAGAAGGAAGAGTTTCTATAAGAAAGAGGCTTGCTCTGGTGCTGGGAGCAGCAAATTTTTTTCTGCAAAACAGGATTTCTCAACACTATTGACATTCTGGGTGAGGTAACTTACTGTTCCATGCCCCACAGGACAATTAGCTGCATCCCTGACCTTCCCAGTGGTAATGACCAAATATGTTTCTAGATAATGCCAGATTGCCTCCCCTCCCCCTGTTGAGAATTGCTGCTGTGAAGGGTCAGATAAGACTAATCACAGGCCAAGTGGGCGAGGCTGTGGTAGCTACTCAGCTCTGTCATTATAAAGCAAACATAGTCAGTGTCATCAGTGACAGGTAAACAAACAGGCACAACTGGTTTCCAATAAAACTTTATTAACAAAAAAGGCCAGGTTTAATCCACAGACCATAGGATATTGACCCTTGGATGTAAGCTTTTTGAAAGACAAGTAGCAGTATATTACGGGATAAAGAGCAGTACTGGCTGCAGAAACAGCACATGCAAAGGATCTGGGGAAGAAGTGAAAATTGACAATGAGACTGAGGGACAAAGAGCACAGGACAGCTTGGCTGGGAGGTAGGTCAGGGCCAGCCTTGCAGGTTACAGAGGCCACTTCGCTGGTATTTCTCCTCTTACCAAGTGGGCACCATTGGAGGCACTTAAGAACCACCTCAGAAATTTAGCATCGGGTTTTCCTGGTCATATATCAAGATAGAGCTGCTAAGCACAAAATCAGTCTGTATTTGAAGAAACATTTATATACACTCAATTACATCAGAGGAAGCAATTTCATAACCAAAGACAATTGTTTGATGATCTGTGTGTTCACACACAGTGGGTGCTGTGCACATATTTTCATTTTGAATAACACCTAGTGACTCTCATTGGCTTCTTCTGTTATTCACAGACAGTGCCTGAGACCCCGTTCACTTGTGTTCTGAATGACTTCTCTCCTATGCGGGACAGTTATAGCGAGGCTTGTTCCTGGGCCAGCAGCATCAGTGCCACTTGGGAATTTGGTAGAAAAGTAGATTCTCAGGCCCCAGCCCAGCCCTGCTACATCAGAAACTCTCAGGGTGGACCCAGAAGTCTGTGATTTCTTCTGAGTCATCCTGACATGTGCTTAACTTGACTGGACAATGGCCTAGCAGACTGGGAAAAGCAAGGCCCAAACCTTATTCCTAGGCCTCCCCGCCAGTAGCTCCCGGAACCCAAAGAAGTTAATCTCAAGTTTTCTGCTCTGTGAAAGTGAGCACAAGACTTCCCTTTTGATATTTATGTGTAAATGCTACTGTAAGGCAGATGCCCTCAGACCTAGAATGCGTGTACAAGTTGAGCATCTGTAATCCAAAATGCTCCAAAATCCTACACTTGTTCAGCACCCACGTGATCACTCAGGCAGAAAATTCTACAGCTGACTGTGTGACAAGTCACAGTCAAAATGCACAAAATTTATTAAAACTACTGTAGAAATTGCCTCGGGCTATGTATATGAGGTATATAAAGTATATAGAAAACATGGATGAATTTGGTGTTTAGATTTGGGTCCCATTCCCAAGGTATCTCATTCTGTCTATGCAAATACAGTGCTGCCTTGGATCATGAACTTAATTTGTTCTGTGATTTTGGAAAAGATGGCCACGTTTGTGTTTGGGTGGGAGAGATGGTTACACTCGTGTTTGTCATCACATGCAGAGAGTTTGCAAACAAACACAAAATTTTGCCAAATGCTTCTGTTTGCAAACTACAGTGTTTACAAACAAAAGCGTTTGTGAACTGAGGCACCACCCTATTCCAAAATCTGGAAAAAAAAATCCCAAATCCAAACGCTTCTGGTACCCAGCACTTCAGATAAGAGATATTCCACTGTATGCTTTGTATATCTTTTTATTTATTGAGATAAAAACTACCACCAATTGTACTGTGGAACACAAAGGTACTGTATGAACAAAAGCTCTTCTAGTTAGTGGGTTGCTGTTGCAGCTGGGGGTGCCAGTGTCTCAAAGACTTCTGTGTTTTTGTTGTTCAGAAAACAGCTCACAGCAACTCCGAAAATGGTGTCCTCCACAGCAAGTCGCGGCCACAAACAGAGCCCTGGTCACCAGGCTCCAATGGCCACAGGGACTGCAAGAGGCAGAAACTGGTCTTCGATGATATGTGAGTTTGGACTCTTTTTTTTTTTTTTACATGGTGAGGGGCAGGTAAAAATGGACATTCCACAGGCAGATGGGTTCTGATGGTGTGACCATTTTCTCTTGCATGACTTGGTCATTTGAATGTCCCTCTCAAATGGAATTTTAACTTTATATGCTCCCTAAGTTCTGCTGAAGACTTTTTGGACAGACAGAACCACCAACGCTAATGGGTTTGCACATAGAACGTCAGAAAGCTGAAGCAAACAACACTAATTTCAAGCATCTGTTTTGTGTTTTAAGGGCAGTGTTAGGCTACTAGAAAGGAAAGCATTTTCACTTTTACAAACTATAATAAGCAAAGAGTAATAGTTACTTACTCCTGAAAGCTTCTTTTCCTCCAAAACGTTGAATTCTCTGTAACAAACAGTCTAAATGATGCCTGTACAGGAAAAATGATCCCGTCACCCTTCCCTGGGTTCTAGCTCTGAAACTCAGATAGAGATTGCAGTTTCCAGCATCAGTTTCAAAGAAGAAATGAGAAGAGAAATCAGAAGAACATCCCGGAATGCCCTAGAGAGGCTGAACTGAAAGTTGTCTAGGCCCCTAGGGGGAGAAACAGGTGTCAAGAACAAGCCCAGAAGTAGAAGACGGGGTTTCCAGGCCAAACCCTGTCCTCAGCTGTGGGTGTCCGCTGGAAGCCCTGGAGTGCGCATCTGTATGAGGCAGGAAGAATGAAGTCCTAAGGCAGGGCCCCAGGCAAATGTAAGAGCTCCTACCCTCGGCTGTAGAAGCTTAAATTAGGAAAGAAAGGATCATTCCTGTGTCCAAGTCCTGGCTTCCTTCTTAGAAAAAAAGAGAAAATAGCAGAAACAACGCCATGTGTCCCTTGTGAGGGGCTCCTGAAGTCCAGTAGATGGCATCTCAGGGTTGGCGCCTGGGGAATGTGTAGGCGTGACGATGGCCATCCTCATCTAGGCAGAGCTGCGTGGCGAAAGGGTCTGGCGGAGGAGAGCTGCTCACCTCATGGCCTTCAGGAACCAGAGAATGAAGGGAGGAGCTGGGGAGGGAGAGGTCTCTGTGGCCACACCCACAGTGACTGCCTCATCCAACCAGACTCCTCCTAACAGCAAGTCAGCGATGAGCTCCCCATCACCTTCCAGAGGTTCCCGCCTGTGATCACAGGATGCTTTAGGGGGACAACTAGGCAGAAAACATAACACTTCTGTCTCCATGTCTGAGATGTGAGAGTACTGAGTCCTGCACAGTCCCCAAGTATAACCTAGATGTCAGTAAGCTAATTAGGGTTCAGAGTTTAGGAATTGAAAAAGCAAACCCACTTTTTTAAAAATTTCACTTGAGCTCGTTCCCAGATAACTCTGTTTCAGTAAGTTTAAGGGCCGCCCAGCTTTCTCCCTTGCAGCTCAGCCCTGTCCCACACTCCATTGCTTCCCGTTCCTCCCACCTCATTCCCTTCCTCGCTCCCACCACACTGACGGAGCATAAATGAGAAAACACAAGCAAGCCAGCGTTTATGGAAAAAGAAGCTGCAAGGAATTTTCCAAGGTATGGATCAGAAAGCTAAGTCACAAGTAGCAACAACCAAATGATTGTACTCAGAGCTACAGTTTTTTGGACAGCTTACAAGAGCAACTGTTTCTCAATCTGCTAGGGCTGGGGCCAATATAATCTTGTTACTATCTGTATCAATGCAGAGGCTGCTATTTGCTGTGCTCATAGCAATATGTATAATTTTTTTTTTGGCTAACAGCTACAATAAGACTATTTCTCCTTTTGTGGCTATAGATACAATAAAATCAAAACGTGCTTTTCTATATCCTTTAGATATAGAAAATATAGATATGGGAGAGAGGGGGATGTTGCATTCCAGTTGCCACTTGTCCCAGCTGATTTGAAATCCATAACCATAACATAAACATGCGACTCAGACCTGCCACTCAAACACGGAACTAAGAAAGTCTGTGGGAAGATTCTCGAAGCTTGAAAAGCGAACTAGGCATTGTCTGTTCCTTTAAAGTAACAGTAAGTGTCCCTCAAGACACTTAAAAAAAGTAAGTGTCCCTCAAGAGATCAGAGTCACCTAAAATTGCATAAAATATCTGCCAGGCTCATTGGATGTGTGCTGAGCACCTCCAAAGTGCCAGCTGGGGGGGTGAGAGCAAGAGACAGATATTCTCAGCTCTTTGGGGGCAAGGGAGGCAGTGAATGGAACCACTAAGTACCCCCGCTGCCTTGTGCCCCCTTCAGCTGCCATTTCTCCACCAGCAGCCCCCTTGACCAAGGAAGTTCTCGGCCCTGTCACTTTCCTAGGCGTCTCTACATTGAGGGTGTCAGCGAGCACTGAAATGACCCAACAGAGGTGACAAGTGGGAAAAAAAGAAAGGACTAAATAATTATCGCCCCAGTCATTTAGCGTTGATTGAAATCCAGTCACAGTGATCCAAAAAGTAACAGATGCCGTAGTACCATTTAGTTTTTAAAGCCACGTCATGTAGCATTTTTTAAAGTAAACTCATCTTTTTGTGTTATAAATACTCGTTAATGGTTGAATAAACATGTGATTCAGACAGCAGCTGAACCCGGTGGGCTGTCAGTAACGAGCCCTGAGTGAACACAGCTGAATTATAAATAACCCTCCCAGGGGGAGCACCTGGATTATTTTTTGCTTTCCATGAAGCTGCATGCAGGTAAATTTAAATTCATGGGCTTCCGTGCCCCTTTTCCTATGCCGCTTACCAATTAAGCAGGCACTTGTTTGTACCTTGGGGATGCAGGCGGAACTGAACAGAGTGACACTTACGTTAAGAATGGGATCCAGGTCAGCTTGTTCTCGGTAAGATGCAGACTCAGATGGGTGGCAGTGCACCTGCACCTCCTCCCCTGGCATTTAGCAAGTGCGTGACATTCACTGCTCAGCAGCCACAGCACTGAGGTGACGGTGGTGTGATTACCAGGCTTCTGTTGAAAAAAAAACCCTGTAGGACTTTGTGGCCATGAGTGACAACACTTGATCCCCCTCAGAGCCCAGAAACTGCCCTCCTGTGGGCAGAGCTATGTGCTGTAAGACACCAGGCGCTGTCATTAGTGACGGGGGAGTCCTCGAGGATGCCAGGGTCAGGCAGGCTCAACACAGGAGTCCTGAGTTCGCAGAGCTGAGCGTGAATGTTGAGTGGAGAAGCCAGCGAGGCCAAGAGCCAGCGCTGCTGGCTTCTCCCCGAAGGATGCGCCGTCCCCTCTGGAACGACCAGCGCACGGCCAACCCACCCAACGTCCCCATCTGTCTCCTGGCGCCAGTAGCACTTGTCCAGCTCCCTAAAGCTGCCCGGGCCACGTGACCACCCCAAAGGCCATGGCTCGTGCAGTGGGGCTGGCGGGAAAGAACGGGGACTTGACATTTGTAATGTCATTATGCACAGCGGTCTCAGAGCTCAAAGGGTTTTAATTTTATAGATGATGGGAAGGTTCCTATATGTAAAAGGTCAGCTCTCTCACAGCTTGATTCAATCAAAGGAAAGCAACTGACACCTTTGAATGGGTGGCATGACAGGCAGACAGGGTGCTCTCCTGGGGGGCTGACCACATCCTTCTTCTCCTGAGGATGATTCCGAGTTCCATTCACCTTTTGGTCTTCCTGGTAAACTGTAGTCCTCCCTAAATCCCTGCATCGAAGCCAGGTCCTTCTTTTCTCCTAACTAAAACCAAAGGAAGAGCAAACGAAAATGGAGTCCGCATTGGACGAGGAGCACAAGGGCTTTCAGATCTCCCTAGCGGAAATGCGAGCTCTCTGATCACTGTTAGGATTTGGTAAAATTGTTTTCTTTTACACATTGTGCCCAGAGAAGAACAACAACAAAATTGATCATTTTCCATTTCAGCAAAAAGTTGCTGATTGAACAACAAAAAGCTGCCCTGCTTAGCCTTCATGTCCTGGTGAGCCCAGGCTGCTTCCGGTGGGCAGCAGGAGGATAGCCTGTAGGAAACGACAGATGTTGCTCAGGCTTCTGACAGCCAGCTTCCAGGGCCTGAGCCCAGTCAGCTTCAAGGTTGTGCAAACAAAAGCTGTGTTAGAATCCCCGCTGACTAAACTCAGTCTTCTGGCACTGCTGGGGAAGTGTCACAGCAGCACTTGGAGGTCCCTGACTCCAAAATACTCTTTTGGTAGGGATCACTTGGAGCTGAGAGTGTAGTTCAGTGGTCAGAGCACTTGTCCAGCCTGCACAAAGCCCTGAGTTCCCTTCATAGCGCAGCAAAAACAAAAGTAAAAGTGATGGTTCGCTGCAGTGAAAAGAATTCTTCAATTGCTCACTCGTTCTCCCTTGGGAGAAAGCTGCTCAGAGTTTGGGACACAGTCACACTTCGGGGCTCATCCAGTGACAAGCTGATACATACCAGATTCGATGGTGCATTCATGTAGGATACACAGCCCCTGTCTGGTTTGGGTTTCGGTTTCCCTAAGAAAGCTGTCCAGATTTCTGCCACATGGAGGAACCCGCCTGTTCAAACACAGCGCGCTTTGCTCCCTGCCAGCTCGCCGGAAACAGGCTGGCTCAGAGTGGGCACCGGTTCACAGAGGCGGAATTCCAGCCAGGAGCCACCTGCCAATGTCTCTGTGGGAGACCATTCAACTCCACAGCCACAAAGAACAAAAAGCTAGGTCGCTTCAGTACTCCTGCGCCAGAAGAAATACGAGGGTGCTAACACCCTGTTGCTGTGTAAAGCCAGGCTGTGTGTTTGTAGGTGGGGTGGGAGGAAGCTGAGGAGAAGAAACTTCCAGAAGGATGTTTGGATCCACATTTAGTTCCCACTGGTGGCAGAGAATCCCTGTCACAAAGATACGTGTGGCTGCGCTCTGGCTAGCCCATTTCTCAAGCATACGAACTGCACAGTTAGTTACATTTATAATGTTTAATGGAAGTTCTGTTAGGCTTGTTGTGAATCATCTTAAAACTGCATCACTGGGAGAAACAACGTGAAGAGTATTAGAGCACAGATGAAAAAAGCAAAACTCGGTTTTCCTTCTTAAAAAAAAACGGAAGATCAGATGAAAATCTGTTTGAACCCTGAGATAACTAGACTTTACTTCCATACCTCTGCTGTGTGACTCTTTGTGGTAGCAGTTGTGCTTTTCCTGTAGACCTGCACATTGCTGTGCATTCATAGCCATGCCGGACAATCCGGGCGACATCCCACGGGTCCCAGTGGCTTTATGACATCTCATCCAGGCGCGTGGCACTGGAAATCACCTGAAGGGAGAAAATGGGCCAATCATCCGGCAATCTTCAGTGGCTCAATAGAGGAGCCCTCCATTATATGCAAAATGAGAATTCTAAGAAATGTGTCCGTCAGTGGTCCATTTCCTGTCAGCGCTGCAGGTTACAGTTGCAGCTGCCAGGATGGTCAGAAAATTATCCACATGCACTGCTTTGAGCTTGTGACTCAGCCTCCATGCCAGGCTTTTAAAGATGCATTTATGTGCTGCCGATGAAAACAGTGTTGATTACAAAGCCCGTTGCAGGGATGATGAGCCACCGCCATCTATAAGGGTAACTCGGAAGGCTGGTGGAGACTAAGATACCTCTCGTGAGAGTGAAGTGCGTCTGAAATGACAGTCTGTTAGTGACAAGGTCTACAAAACAGGGAAAGAAGAAAATGACCAAACTTACACGCTAGAGTGTGGCGCAGATAATGATGCGCAGCATTTCAGGTTGCCATGGAGACACTCTCTGGCTCATTGACGGTGATGCCTGCCCCATCAGAAGGGACCAGCCTTCTCTGAGGTCAAACAAATCCAGCACTGTTCAGGAAGATCTTGTTCACCTTCTGTCATGTGTCTAAGTAAAACTGCAGGGTGGGGAAGGCCGGAGAGGTGTGCACCATGCTGAAAAGGCAGTGACCATAGCCTGGTGCCACTCAGAAGGTAACTCAAGACCAGAAGCGTGGTGTAAACAAGAAGTTCCAAAGGAGATCAGGGAACACAGATGCGCTTGGACCAGAGTTACTGGCTAGGCCTGAGGGTAGAATTTGAGACGCAGTGACATTTGCCTCAGTGTAGGCCCTCGGCTTCAGTGAGTGAGCAGAGAGCAGAACATTCCAAGCAGCAGGGAGGGCTGGGCAGAGCTCCTGAGACAGAGATGGCAAGTCGTCGGGCAGGGAGGAAGCCAGCCCAGACTCCGGTCCAGGGCTGTGGTGAGGAAGGGTTGGGGTGGAGAGGGTTGGGCCGGATTATGGCAGCTGACCTGGGATTTGACCTCAGAAGCCTGGAGACTTATTCTAGGTCTCTGAGCAGGATGGTGATCTGATGAAAGCCGTGTTTGACGACATTACTTGGGAGTGAAGCCCAGGGGGTCAGTGACGGGCGCAGGGACCAGAGAAGTGATGACAGCCTGGGTGTTGGCGGTAGATGTGGTCTTTGAGAGAAGAGATACTTCACAAGGAAGCATTCAGGGCATTTGGTAACGAGGGAGGAAGGGATGAAGATACCGGAACTCCTCTCCTGAACCCCACCCGAGCCTCAGGGGTCAGATCTGAGCTTGGGCTAGTGGTAACGTCTGTCCCTCTACTTTGGAACATGAAATAAATACAGCGGCTTTTGGGGCAGTGATACTATTCTGTGATACTATAATGGTGGAGATAGGTCATTATACCATTTCCACACCCAGAAAATATACAATACCAACTATGGGCTTTCGATAAGTACTGTCAATGATAGATTGTCAATAATAGATTCATCTATTATAAAAAAAAAATACACCACTCCAGTTCAGAATGTTGATGGCAGCGGTGCTGTGTACACCTGGAGCAGAGGGTATGTGAGGACCCTCTGTACTTTCTGTTCACTTTGGCCGTGAACCTAAAACTGCTCTGAAAAGTGAAGTTTATTTGAAAATAGAATAAATGAGCAGTAACAACAATGCACATTGGCAGAGCTGCAATCAAAGACCAGACAGACAGTCACTATGTAGATAAAGGTCAGTGGGTAGCCAAAGATGAGAAAGGGCAAAGCCACTCAGTGTAGGAGGCATGGGTGTATGGAAGATGAGCTACAGAAAGCAGAGCTCGTTGGAGCAGGGCCTTCTTATGGAGGAAACGGGTCACCTTCCCCACCAATGAGAGACCCCCCAAGAGGAAGTGGGGTGGAGCCTGTACATTAAGGAAATTCTGCAGATATGTTTTCACGTGGTTGCTGTGATATGCTAAGTTGCTACCCGCAGTACTGACAATATTGTATAGAGAAGTAAGGGACAGGAAACCAGGTCCTTTTGTTGCTTCAGTGACTTTTTGGACCCAAAGTTAATTGTTTGCTATGATTCTGACTTTGAATGATTGGTTGGCTGACTGACTGACTGATTGATTGGTTGATTGATTGGAATATTTTAGTCAATGTGCATAGTTGTGAAATACGTTGTTTCTCTAAGTACTTTGACCTCTTAGGATAAAGGCATGCTCTGACTGATATTACAGTGGGACAAAGACCCATCAGAACCTCAAACAACACAGTTTGTGCTAAGCGCATCACAATCAGCTAACAGTTCATGACTGATACCGCTACTAACCTCATATCTCCCATTCCGGCAGTCCTGGCTTATATTTGATATTCACAAATAGGTCAGTTTTATTGATTACGTAAAGACCCATAATAAAAAAACAGTTTGTGCTGGTGGCATATAAAGAACGCAGAGTTCATTTTTTTAAAAATCTATCTAACTAAGCATTTAAAGGTTCTGTAGGGTGAGTAACTAGGTGTAACTTTGGGGGTCATTATGCACATTCAGATCAGTCTTGGGATGAATTACCTTCATCTCCCCGAAGAATCGGTGCTGGCCAGGGTTATTGCTTTAATAACACACACGTCTGCTATTAATGTTTACCAGCTAGCTAATCAGCGCTCCAGAGAATACATGCCATGTTTGCATTGTTACAATGTAGACATCACTCTGCAGTTAACTTCATTACGACTGGAAAATAATCAGGCAGCATTACGTGTTTTCATTTTTCACTGTGAGGCTTTAAAATAATTAAATATATACACATACCACTCTAGGTACCATTTATGCATATAAATGACATTTATATTCACAAGGCTACATAAATATTCTCACTCATACATATCCACGCGATTCTTAGGAGGTATATTTACAACCTGCATGTTAAAGGAGGATAGTTTTGTGTAACTATTGGGCAAAACAAGATTTTTCACTTTTTTTTTCTTAACCACACAGTAAATAGTGTGATTCACAAATTAGGCACTGGGGGACCATGTAGAAACCTCTGTAAATGTTAAGTGTCTGAATACATTGAGTGGGTTTTGACTTGCTAACTTAAGAGAAAAATAATCACAGTATTTTACACACAAACAGCAATTTGGAAGGGCAAAAAAAACAGACTTGATTCTATGTTAAGCAGAGTTTTTAAATTGTGCTTTATGTTTGAGCGAAGGAAAAGAATATTTTCAAAAGATCTTGTACTTAAGCAATAATGACGTTTAATATCGTTCTCTCCTTGTAGGCCTCGAAGCGCAGATTATTTTATGCAGGAAGCTAAACGAATGAAGCATAAAGCAGATGCAATGGTGAGACCCTTCTCTTTCTGGATACGTTCATCCAAATTGTGTTTGTACTGCCGCTTCATCACTGGGGCAATATAGCTGGGGGTAATTATAAAATCTATTACAAGGATGGCTGGGCCTGTTAAGTGCAGAAATGTTTATATAATCAAGTGCTCATAGCCCAATACATTATGACTTCAACCAATAATGTCTGGCTGGGAGAAAGCCTTGGGTAAATGAATATTTCAATTTAGTCCTAAGGTTTGAATAGTAACTAGAGCCAATCGAGTCCGTGGGTGATAGTAGGGTTTTTTTTTTTCGTTGAAAAAAAAATCTAGATTTGCATTTTTTGCCCTTTTACTAGCTTGGCCAACTCTTGGCTTGGTACCAGGATCAAATCTCTTTCCAAAAACACTTGTGTTTTTCATACGCATCTGTCAAAACAAATGCTTTTCCTGAACCGTACAATACAGAAACTGTCATCTGCACACAAGCCATAATGCCACCATGATTTGACGTTTCCAAAAACTAACTCTTCTTACTTGGATAATGTCCTATTTTAGGAGGCTTGATGCTTTCAGGCTAGAAAAAGAAGACTTCAGGTTTGGTTTTTTTAAGAGCTCATGAGGTTGTTCCATCTTAAGGTCTCTCATCCAAAAGGACTCCATCCTATCGAGTAATTCCAGTTTTATTCCCCTCCAGTGTTGGTAACTGAGATCACTCTGGGTTCTGGAGACAAAGAAGGCGTTTCACATGACTTTGTATTCTTAAACCCTAACAATCTCATTTTGCCAATGCCGTGCTAGTAATGAAGTGTCACCCGTCAAACATGTATATTTGCACGGAGTCCACTACCCAGGACACTGGGGTACAAAGGAAGTGTCCAGAGTGTCAGAAAATAAGGACAAGAAAAAGCCACAGCTTTTGCCCACACAATCCCAGTCTGATGGAGTGTCCAGGTCACCTGAGAAAACTGGTACATGGCCGCTCTTGGAGAAAAACATCAGTTTTTGTTGTTGTTGTTGTTGTATTGAGAATTTGCCTTGAGCTCCATCGACAACCTATTTTTTTAATTTTTTGAGTCCAGGTCTTGCTAAGTTGCCCACGCTAAACTCAAACTTGCAATTCTCCTGTCTCAGCCTCCCAGAGTGCTGGGATTACAGGCCTGAACCACCACCCGCAGTCCAGCTGACTGAGATTTTCTGCCTGAATTCTTCATCCAAAATGTGTTGGCCCTATTCATTCCATGTCATCTTGTTCCACGCTGCCTTTTCTATCAACCAGTTCCCAAGAGAGAGGCACTGCTCCAGCGAGGCGGTCTCCTACCAGCCTCTGAGCTTGCTGATGTCAGCCGCTGGGCCCATGCTCCTGTGGAGCTTCACACCCACTCACACACACACTGGCACTCTCAGGTACACTCACACCCTCAGCGTCCTCCTGCATCCAGCCAGTTACGCGTTAGGGGCTCCTTCCTGGGGGTTCTCGGCAGCCCTGTCCCTCCTCCATCCTCCCATCTCATTTACACTCGACCCGAGGCGCACATTTTTTTCCTCACAGACGGCTGGGCAGGCTGAACCATTCTGTGGCTGCACACGCTCTCTCTCCAGGTGTACTGTATCTTCCCGGCAGGGAGCCTCTGTGCATCGCGTGCACACGCCCCAGAACTGAGTGCCTTGGAAATACCTATTGAGCAAAGTGATTTCCTTAATCAGAAAGTGTTACCGAAAAACACTACTTTGGAGTCGGTTTGATTGATAAGCTGTTTAGAAACTTGATTTGCTAGTGAAGAGCAGTTCTGCTCCGTGTCTCTGTTTTCTAACATAGTATTACTAATGAAGTTGTGGGGAGTTCGCTGGCTTATTTTTTTTAATAGCAAGGCTTAGGATTCTGGGTTTTTTTTATTGATGAATGAATCATTTGAAAATTGGAGGGGTTTCTCAGGCCACAGTGTGGCTGTGTAGTTATCTACAGAGAGTAGCAGAGTGCGGCACGAGGAACTGATGTGTAAAAGTCTAGATTTATGAGAATTTAAGAATATAAAACTGATGGATGATTAACCTCTCTGATGTGGGGAAAGAGTAACATAAATTTAAATGACTACAGGTAATCCAAAACCTCATTTTTTATTATTGATTTTCAACTTTCTGATCCGTTCTGGTGAAGCTGAAATGGTGCTCTGATTTTCATCTTCCTCCTTTTCGTTCCTCACTCTAAGGGAGGTCCTCACCACTACAGTAATCACAAAAAAAGAAAGATGAAAGCATGTGAATGGAAATAATTGTATCAGTCAGATTTCCCACTGCTGGGACACAGTACCCAGCACCCACAGCTTAGAGGAGGAGAGGCTTAAGGGGGCGCACAGTCCTGGCGGAGTTAGCCCAAGATCCACTGGCCCCAAGGCAAGACCATCATGGCGGAAGGGAGAGGAGAGCTGCTTACCTCACGGCAGCAGGAAAGCAGCGAAGGAAGTAAAGAAGCAGCCGGGAAGGAAGCAGTACCCTCCAAAGGCACACCCCAACCTCCTCCAGCCAGGCCTCATCTCCTAACAGCACATTTAGCTAGGAGTTCGTCAGTGAATGGCTCAGTCCGCTGATAAGCATAGCACCACTGTGATCCGATCACCTTTTAAAAGCCTCACCTCTGAACACGTAAGACTTAGGGGGGACATTCTCTATCTACACCATGACAGTAAGGTAAATATGATAACTAAGGCCTTGCTTGAGCTAGCCAACTACTAACCCTAGTATTTACTGGTTTTTTTTTTTTTCATTACATACATACTGATGATGAATGTTAATGCATAAATTAGGCAGAGTAAGAGATTAATAATAATAGCTAACAATAAAATAGAACAAGGGTAAGGTGGTATAATGAAAATACTTTAACTTCTAAGTTGTTGTAGAATTTTCCATTTAGTGTTTTTGGTATGATGGACCATGCCTACGGAAACGTGGAAAGTGGGGCTCTGGATGGGAGTGGGGTGGGGATGGCGGACTACTGTATCCTGTTTCTTCCCTCAATCCCTTCACAGGATGTGGGAGCTCAAAAGTTGAGTTTCTCCCATAAAGTGTGTAAACTGTGAGAATGCCAGTTAAGACCCATCATTAAGGAAGACCTTTCACTCTGTTGCTCAGGTGGAGAAGTTCGGAAAGGCTTTGAACTACGCCGAGGCCGCCTTGTCGTTTATCGAGTGTGGAAATGCCATGGAACAAGGCCCGATGGAGTCCAAATCTCCCTACACCATGTACTCAGAGACCGTGGAGCTCATCAGGTGAGCGCTGGGCTTCTTGCTGGGAGGTGGGGTCCCTGTCTGGAGGCACCAGGAGTACAAACGTCAGCCTGCGCCAGCAGCTGCTGGAGCCGGTGTCCATCTGCCGGCAATGGGAATGGAAGATGGCACAGCTTTCACACACGGTGAGGCAGGCCATGCCTTACCGCTGACTGTGAACTTAGCCAGTCAGCTGTGACACACCCACCTCCCCCAGCCAGGAAGTGGTGGGTTTTGAACTTGCTTTTACCTCTGAGATGCTTTGAAGAAAAAAAAAAAAAACTGCTTCAGTCAAAAAAAAACTCAACAGCAGCAAAACGAAATCTAAAAAAATAAATACCTGATACTAAATGGGCCAAAACACGTCTGAAGAGAAGACGTACAGATGACCAGCAGATATACGAAAAGATGCTCAGTGTCGGTACTCATCAGAGAATGCAAATCAGACCCACACTGACATGGCCCCTCACCCGAGGGAGAGTGCAGCTAAGCACCACGCACGGGCGAGGAGGAAAGGGAGCACGCCGGAGCACTGGTAGTGAGAATGTAAAGTGGCATACCCACTACGGAGAAAACTACGGAGGCTTCCAAAAAACTAAAGCTAGAACCACCATGTGACCCAGCAATCCCACTACTGGGAATATTTCTGAAGGAAATGAATCGAGTACATCAAAGAGACATGTGTACTCCCGTGTTCACTGCAGGACTACTCACAATAGCCAAGAAAGGGAAACAATGTAAGTGTTCATTGACTGATGAATAGATAAACAAAATCCAGCACATATACGTAATGGAATACTATTCAGCCATAAAAAAGAATGAAATCTTGTTGTTTGTGGCCACATGGATGGAATTGGAGATTATTAAAAGTGGAATGAGCCAGGCATAGGAAGACCAGTACTGCATGATCTCATTCATCTGCATAATATGAAAAAGCTGATTCCATCAATGCTGACAGTAAAACAATGGTTTCCAGAGGACAGGAGAGTGGCAGGGAGGGAAGGACAAGGAAAGAAGAAAAGTCTGGTCAGCATGGTGTGTCGTAGTTGCCTCTTTTCCTTTCTGAGACCCCATTGGACACCTGAAGCCACAGATGATACCAAACCTTAGACACACCATTGTTTTTTAGGGAGGGTGTACATACATAGCTGTGTTAATGCTTACTTTATAAATTAGGCACAGGGGCTGGGGGTGTAGCTCAGCAGTAGAGCACTGGCCTGGCATGCCCGAGGCCCTCAGTTAGATCCCGGCCCCACCCAAAAATAAAATAAGTGGTCGCAGTAAGAGAATAACAGCAATAAAGCACAACTACCATGATAACATACCAAAATCAAGGCATGTGAGTCCCCTGTCCCTTTCTTGAAAGAGTTAAGAAAAACGGTAAGAGTCTTGGACCACGGTTGGCTGTAGATGACACTTAGGAGACCGAAAGCTGGGATTTGGAGAGACCACTGTAACCTGAAACTTACTTCCATCAGTAGTGACTGTGGAGTATTCAATGCAAGGAGAGAAGATGCAGGCGGATTTTATAAGAGGAGGAGGCATCCTCTTATGGGCTGGTGTGGACGGAGCCCCACTGTTCTGATCTAAACTCCCCACCTGGGCTGGGACACATGATACCATCGGGCCAGGGTTTGACAGGGCACTGAGCATGCTCAGAGGAGGCGCTCCCCTTCCACGATGGACACCTGGAAAGACACAGCCTTCATTTCTGTCCAAACCAGCAAGGAAATTTCACTTGTTAGCCCTACTGAGATCCTTTGTAATGTTGTTTATGTTTCTAGCCAGCTTAACTGCGTGGAGTAATATTATCTACTATGTCTAATACCCACTGTGTGAAATAATTCTTCCTAAGACTCACATTAAGACGTTTTTCTAATTCTGCAATTCCTTGCAATCTAACGCTGTGTTTTGCTATGCCCTGTCATTCCACACACAAGAGCTGTTCATCTTGCTCTCTTTGATCCATACTGGCCCAAAGAGACTGCGTGGTATTTTTAACCACTATCCCTCAATCTGTAGTTTCAGGCCTTTGAAACACTCATCCTAACATCAGAGACCTTCAAACAGCACTTCTCAAGGAGACTTTGAAGGTCAACTCTACCTAGCCACTTTTCACATCAAAAATACTTCCACTGAATCAATGTGTTGGTGATTCCCTCACATTGTCTTCTCCTATGGCGTAATATTTTCAGCAGCAAAGAAAACAACAGTAAAAATCTGTTAAAATTACTGTAAGAGACACTAGATCCTCATCTCCCTTCCATAATCTCTCTCACCTCCGGGCGGGCAATAAACAAACCTGGACAGCTACACAGCGGGAAGATAACCGAGAACGTGAAGGTGTTGAGCACAGATTTTTTTGTTGTTTTCATCGATGCATCCCCAGTCCCTAGAACAGCACGGTAAGGAGTATGTGCTCCCTAAACGCTTGAGGAATGGACCCATAAACAAGCCAGGGGTCCTGATGGAAGCTGAGTAGCACTGCCTGCTTGCAGGCATTCATACTTTAAAAAGAACAAACGAATGCTAACCAAAAAATAAAAAGCCAGATGCCAGCAGAACCCCCGGGGGTGCCAGGTGAACCGGGTGGAAAGGAACCTCCCACAGTGGAGAATACAGAATGAATGGCCTCCCCTGAGCTACCCAGAAAACTAAGTCAAAAATAGTTTTTCTGATCTGAGTTAGAAAATAGCGTCACAGGAGGTGACTTAGTTACTGAATACCTATGTCAAAAGAACAGCAAGGGAAGCTTGTGAACACTCGCACCATAAGGGAGTGGTAGATGCACAAGGTGATGCTAAGTGAATGGCTCGATCAGCATTTCATGTGTGCATGTATAAAGACACCGAACTGAGCTCCAGAAATATGTATAAAGGGTCAGTAAGAGAAGAAATAAAGCCACATATTTATGGATTTTTTTTAAAGTAGTGCTAATTAACCTGCCCCATAACTCTGCACCTTAATCACTGAACCTGACTCTCTTCTGAGCCTTGGAGAGACCCCTGGGGGCCAGAAGCCTTGGCACCAGGGATCTCACAAGGATAGAACTCCTTCCTCCACCAGGGGGACCCTAGAGGGCAAAAGAGCACTGGCAGTGGGCGTGGCTTCCACAGAGTTCCCCTGGTGACCCTGCCCCCCACCCCCATGGCCTGGGGAGCGCCGGCAGGGACCAACACGAGCTCCAGAGCCCCCACCCCACCCCCATCAATGGAGCAGACCAAAGTTGAGCCAGAAGAGCTCTGAAAAATTAAACTGCAACCGGAACTACAGCCCCAAAAGTAAGCCACCACCTGCCTGCTGCCCCTAAACAGAGTGACTGTCTGCTAAAAAGAAGAGATTGAAATAGGACCCAGAGACCACTAACACAATCGCTAAAATGTCCAGGATTCAAATGCCCCATTCATCTTACCAAGATCCAGGAAACTCTCGTACCTGAAATGAAAAAAGGCGGTGAACAGACACCAATACCAAGATGAATCCGCCCTTGCAATTATCTGACAAGGATTTTAAAACAGCCGCCATTAAGTTCTCAAAAAATTTACAATTCTATGGCAATAAACAAAAAAACTATCTTGTCAAATGAAAGTTTTATATATTTATATATATGTAAGTCATATATATATATAAATAAACTCCAACAGGAGGGGTAAAGCTGAGCAGTGTGGTAACAGAAACAAAAGTCCCTGGCAGGGCTCCGCAGAAGGGCTGTGCTCTCTGGCCCGCGCCTCCAAATGCTGTTCCATTGGGAATTAAGTTTCCCGCACCCGACTCTGGGGTCCCGTGCAAACCACAGCAAGCACTGTAACAAAAGGTACTGCAGGAGAGAAGACAGCAGGAGAGGAAATGACAGACCGTGGAAGTACTCGATGAAGTGGTGGTGGAAACCGGCCAGACGTACCCAAGGACGCAAGCCTGCCTAGTCAAGAAGCTGAGAAAACCCAGAGAGGATGAACCCAAAGAAGTGAAGGGCAAGACACATCTTAATTACGTTTCTGGAAACTAAGGACAGAGAAACACTCCTGAAAGCAGCCAGAGAGAAAAGCGTGCATCTCCTGCTGCAGGGCGCGGCGCCCGTGCAGATGCCAGAGACTGTGGCACAACACTTTCCAAGGCCTGGAAGTATAAGCTGTCAAGCAGCGTATTCTCACTGGAGGGAAACTGTTCCTCAAGAATGAGGGGAAATAACGACATTCTCAGACGAAGCTGAACTAGAGAGTCTGTCTGTAACGGACACCCCTGCTTAAAAGACGGGTGGAAGGAACTTTCCCAACAGAAAGCAAATGACGGGGAGAGATCTTGGAGCATGAGAAAAGAGGAAAGAACAGGAACGTACGAACAGTAAACTACCCCCCTCATGAGTTTTATAGATCCTGCTTGATGATGGAAACAAAAATTAGGCGGCCACCATCTGATATTCAGGATGATGTTATGTAAAAGTGCAGAGGGTAAAGGTTCCGCACTGCGCTCAGAGTGGTAAAACACTGATACGAATACATTATGCCGAGTTATATTCCGTATATTGTAATTCCCAGAGCAGCCACTATGAGAACTGCAGAGATGCGCTCAGAAACCTGCACATCTGGAGACAGTGTCCTGACAACCGCGTTGTGTCTTGAGCAGTTTACAGGAAGCCAGCCTGCTACACCGAGAGCTTTTCAGAACTATCTGGATTAATCCGAACAACATTATGTGATCGCTGTGTCCATTTTGCTTCCTAAATAAGGAAATGAGGGCTTTGAGGTGTTCACACCTTTCGCTAAACTCTTCCAGCTAGTGCGTGGCCGAGCTAGGGTTTGAACCTAGGACCCTCTGGCCATTGCACACCCTGCCTCAGCTCTCGCAGGGTCTGCGCAGGTGACCAGGTGCATTATCAGGAGAAAGCAAAAGCCACAGTCCCTCTCGACCAGAGAGGTAAACAAAATTACGTGCATTTCATAAAAACCACTCATCTCCTATCACACACCTCTGCAAAAGCAAAGAGATTTTAAATGTAGCCAGGACACTTACCCCTCCAGCAGAGGAGCAGCTCGATTGCAGAGGGTAAATAAAGCATCGGTCTGAACACAGGGCTGAAAATTCTCCTAGAGGTAAAACCCCGAAAGATGGGGCTTTGGCTGCACCTGTCAGCTGCTCCGCCATAAATCAAAACTTGGAAAAAGGGACATGTCAGTGTACACTGAACCAGCGTCCCGTCTGCCAGTCCGCAGTATTTGAGCATGCACTGTCAAAGAGCAGAAAGTAGCAAGGCATTGTTTCTTATCCTCATCGCTGTAATGTAGTACTTGGAGAAGTGAAGCGACATCAGGTAGCTTTTAAGAAAGCATCAGCAGCAGTACCATGGAAAATTAAGTATTAGGTAGGGCGAACTATCATAGGGTATGAGGTTCTGTTGTTAACGGGAATGCGTTTTTTTAATTTTGCTTTTGATTTTCTATTTTTATTTATTTTTAGGTATGCTATGAGACTAAAAACCCACTCCGGCCCCAATGCCACACCAGAGGACAAACAGCTAGCTGCATTATGGTGAGTGTATCACTGCAAATTCGGAGGGTGCCCCAGCCCCACCCTGTCACCACCGGCAAGCCCAGTGCTGAAAGTTCTTCTAGTACGTTCTCTTACGAAACCCCACGTGATTCTGACACCCAGGGATAGTCTAGACGATTTCCTTTTTATTTTTATTTTTTTACTTTTCAATACTGGGGATTGAACCCAGGGTCTTCACACTGAGCAGCATCCCCATCTCTTTTCTGAATTTTTATTTTAAGATAGGGCTTCACTAAGTTGCCAGGGATAGACTCAAACTTTTGATCCTCCTGCCTCAGCTTCCCAGAGTGCTAGGATTACAGGCACATGCCATCTGGCCCAACTGGGCTAGTTCTTGGTGTTATACCATGTATGAACTAGAACCCCACAGGCCCATTACAGAAGAACAGTTTTTTTTCTATACACATGCCTGGGTTTCAAAGTCAGGAGGGTCCCTGTAATAGTCATTTAAATGTGAATTGTACCCAGTGGAATTTCTGTTGTATTTAACACTAAGTGTAATCAAAATAATTTGAGTGTTGCTTTACATGCAGATTAGTATGAATGAATAAAGATGATGCATTAACGTTCTCGAGGCATTTAACTGAGGACTGGCGCATTATGCTTTGATGACAAAATCATTTCTCCCAAAATGTTAACCAGTGTATCTTAGTGGTTTTTTTTGTGCTTACAATGGTAAAGAGTATGTGCTTTAATAAAAATAATTTCCCCATGGCATCTCCTTGGGTCGTTTCACCCCACTCCCCAGAACAACCCTCTGTTGGTTCCTCCTGTCAAAAGACCCAGAATTTTTGCTCTCCAAAGCCTCATTACATTCTGCAATCTAATCTGCAAGTTAGAGAATCAAGTGGAGTCTCGAGAAACATAACAGCAGTGTAGACAAAAGACGGTCTCAGGTTGCTGCAAGTCCTGACCTCCCCTGGAGTTCAGAGTGTTAAGTGGAGACTGTCAGGCTGTATTTGGCTTGTTGGTATTCTAGCAAGGCAACCTGGTTCTAAATTAGCAAATAATTACAATACGAGTAAAGAATGCCAATGAGGAAAGGATTAATCTCAGGAAACACCACCCTATGCCCTTGTCTTTATTGAAGTTCAATGTTGGAATTAATAAATGAATGATTAATAATGAATACTATATTAAATAGAATACTAATATGTAAATGGATATTAAAGTGTGGAAAATAATCAAATGAAAACTACCTTCGGCATAATGTTTTTATAGTTTGTAATGCACACTCACTATCTCTTACTTTATTTGAATTAATAGGCCAGTAAAGTATCAGGAAGGGGAGATGATAAAAAGAAGCTCTCTGTCCCAAAGCAGGTAGTTCATCTAGGGAGCAGTGAAAATTGCATGCTAGAGCTTCCTGGTGGCTCTTGTGGAGAGAGACTGCCCTCTGGTGGTAGGATGAGAAAACAGCCAGCCTTCCCAACAAAGAAGAGAGAAAGCTGTAAAAAAGGATGTAGTGGGGTGAATACAGTTTTGGAGGACCTCCTTGGAAGTTCGGATTTTATTTTTTGAATGGGAGAAAGGTCAGATGCTGATGCTCATAGATGTGCATGCATATAGAAGCACTTGAGATACATAAACATGGACCCTGGGAGGACCTGTTGTTTTAAAGCCATGTTTGTGAAGGACACACTCATGCTGTGGCCGCCTCCTCTCTCCTCTGTCGCAGTTACCGATGCCTGGCTCTCCTGTACTGGCGGATGTTCCGGCTGAAAAGGGACCACGCCGTAAAGTACTCCAAAGCACTTATCGACTATTTCAAGGTATTGTCTGGCAAAGGAGCGAGACGGCTCCTCGACTGCTCATGCTGAGTTATGTCCCTGTCAGGGGCACCTCTGGGAAGCCGAGTAGAGCCTGATGCGCTGGGGCTACTACAGATCACCTCTGGTGTCCAGAACAACTCATCTATGGCACCCCGTGGCTTCCAGGGCTCTGAGAAAGGGTCCTGAAAGCCAAGCTCACTGGCCCCTGCCTTCTTGTCCAAGAGTTTTTACCGACTTTGGTGGAAGAATATCTTATCTTGTTACTCCTCCCAGTGTCCAGGGAAATTCATCTTCGTTGCAAGACATAACTTCCTCGTGTCCACCTAGAGCCGCTTTCTCTTAGAAATTCCTACTCAGAGCCGTTTCCACTGAGTCTCTAGCAGCTTCTTTAATTAACAGAGGCGTTGTTTAAAATGGAAAGAAATGGCTTATTAGAGCTCAGAGATACTGGATAACAATGTGTAGCTAGAAGGACGCAGGCACAGCCGTGGCAGCTTTTACTTATCGCGGGGAATGAAAGTGTTTTCCCTGGAAGAATTTTTAAAAGGAAAAAAAAAAGTCCTTCCCTGATGTACTGTTATAAAGTAGACTTGAAATTTAATCATTTATTTGACATTTCGGGGCCTCTTTATCTGTTTCTGTATAGAAACAAGAAATTACGCCATCGCTGTCTTCACCACCGCTTTTTGTAGATACGCAGCCATCCTTTGAGATCCTTTCTCCCCGAGCTGCACATCTTAGAGATGATTTGCAGTGGCCAGGCTGTGTTGGCAGACGCTGGGGCTCTGTCTGCTGTGCCTTCCCAATTGTGCGCGTTGGGTAACAGGTGCTGGGACCAAGGGATAACTTCTGTGGCCCATTGCCAGCACGTGTCTTCAATATCAGGGACTGGCATGGAACCTTCCCTTTATATATTTTGAGCAGGTAAAGTCAAGATCAGTAGTTTTCAGAGACTCAGGCTTCTTAAGAGCTGATACTAAAGAGTTATTACAGTCAAGACAAAGGGCTTGAATACAGAAGGACCCTTGGGACTGGGGGTATAGCTCAGTGGAAGAGCACTTGCCTGGCACCAGCCAGGTCCTGGGTTTGATCCCTAGCACCACAAAAAGGGGGGGAAAAGCTGAATTATGTGAGGCCAAGGGACTGCAGCAAAAACTCTTAAGAGATAAAAGAAGTTCTCACTGTACATGTGTAGCCTGTGACCTATACAAAATGGGTGGAGAAAAGAAGAAAATCAGAGTTTCTCCTCAAACGTTATTGACATATACCCCTTATCAATTTTACATTTTTAAATGTATTTTTAACTGACCAAGGACAAACTGTATATATTTATGGTATACAATCTGTTGTCTTAACATATGGTTACGTGGTGGAGTGATTTTTTTTTTTATCTTTTTTTTTTTTTTTTTGGTTTTTCTCCGGTACCAGGAACCGAACTGACAACCTTGCGCTTGCCAGGCAGGCGCTTTTGCCGCTGAGCTAAATCCCCAGCCCCATGGTGGAGTGATTAAATCAAGCTAATTCATGGGTTTCCAACACCTCACATGCTCATCATTTTTATGATGAGAACACTTAAAACCTACTCTTTTAGTGATTTTCATATATACTTTATGTTCTTAATTATAGTTCCCACACTGTGGGATTAATCTGGAGAATGCCTTCCTCCCACCTGAAACTGTATGACCTTTCCGTGCCCCTCATTAGGTACAGAGTTGGAAAGGCTACATGAGCAAAGCTCAGAGACTGAAGCCTTCAGGTTATAGTGACAGTTCAGCTGTGGAGAATGTGTCTTATCAGTAGGCTGCTGTCTCTAAAAAGGGGACTTGTGGCTGCCCATGTGTGTATCCATAGGACTATTTTCCCAATTATTTCTGACACTAGAACTTCTCTCCCCTTTGTGTCTTTACGTCCGGGACATCTCTTACATAAATCATTTCTCAGAACCTCATGGTGGATGGAGAACAAAGTGAAACATCCCCTAGTCGCCGATTGAGAAAAGGGACAGTAATGTTCTGGGTTTCTCTTTTTCTAGTTCTCTCCGTCAAAATAATGTCATTCCCTGAGACAGGTGACAGTGACATGGTTTGCAATTCTGCCCTGAGCTTACACCTTGCTGTGGGGCCTCTGAGTCCTGACAGGCCGTTTCATTTTGCCATTTTGTTACCTCTTGCATTAAAACTAAATAAACCGGTCACCACTTCATCAAGTTCCTTGTAACCAAAAGATACACGCTGTCTCAGGAAACCAGGGCAAAACCATCTCTTGTCTCTGGAAGGGAACATTCACAAGAGCATCACAAAGGCTGTTTTCCCCCTTAACCGTCCTGTGGGCTTCTTGAAGACTTCTGGTTTTTGTTTTGTCTTGGTACTTCTGGGGATCAAGCCCAAGGCCTTGCACATGCTAGGCAAGTGCTCAGTCACAGAGCTATATGTTAACCTGGAAAACTTCTAAATGCTGATGCAAACACCAGGCTCATGCGGCATAGCACCCTAAAATATCCAAATAAATCAGAATTTTTGAATGTCCTGTGTGTCAAGTAAATACATTTTAACCCATCCTTTTAGAAGTATCTGAGTGATTTCCTTTCAAAGAAATAAATGCTTTAAGCTTCATAAGTTAAAACGATAGAATTTGACGACGTATATTTTCAGGCATTGAATGAAGACCTGTTGGCCAATAGCCCCTAAATTTAAATATAAGGTATTCTCGGTATGTGGGGGGAGGGGTGATTACTGTCCTTTTTTTCCTTTTCAGAAAAAGTACACTAATGTACAAGTTTAAAATCAGACTAGTCTATGATTCAGCAGGCTCTCGGGATTACGATTTAACTTGGTACCTAAAATATGTACATCGAAACCAGAAGCAGGCCCTGAGACGCCCGCTGAGGGACCACGCTGAGAGCCTCGTGATACTGTAACTGCTCGGACCCCATCTCTGTGCCTCTATGAGCAGATGGCACTCACTGCACGTGTGTTTGTTTTCCTGCAGAATTCGTCCAAGGCTGCCCAGGCCCCATCCCCCTGGGGGGCCAGTGGAAAGTAAGTTCGTCTCCCACCCCACGCATGACACTTTCAGTGCCCTGCGGAGCCGCCCTCCCTCACCGGCTCCCGACCTCTCCACTCTGGTTTTTCTGCCTCTCCCCTTCCAGGAGCACTGGAACCCCATCCCCCATGTCTCCCAACCCCTCTCCCACCAGCTCCGTGGGGTCTCAGGGCAGCCTGTCCAGTGCCAACGCCCTGTCCCCGTCCACCATCGTCAGCATCCCGCAGCGCATCCACCAGATGGCGGCCAACCACGTCAGCATCACCAACAGCATTCTCCACAGCTACGACTACTGGGAGATGGCCGACAACCTGGCCAAGGAAAACAGAGGTGTGTGACCACCCCTGGGACCTGAGGACCCACCAGGCTCAGGGGACAGCCTGGCCCCGGGGCACCGTTACTCCGGTTTTCATGGTCTGTGGGGGGAGAGGGAGGAGGAGCTGTCACCTGCTTGGTGAGTCCTTTCCTGACCCCTCCTGTGGTCACTCGGGGCCTCGTGCACCTTCTACCTTACCGTTGAGGATCATGTGAAGGGAGATTAGGTGTAGATACAACGCAGGGGTCGGGGTGTGCACAGATACAGGTGTAGGGACAGATTCAGGGTAGGTACATTCATAGGTGCAGGTACAGGTAACAAGTGTAGTGACAGGTATAGGTGTGTGTATAGGTACAGGCATAGGTGTACATCCAGGGCTAGGTACACACACAGGAGTAGGTATGGGCACGGGTGTAGGTGCAGTTCCAGGAGTAGGTAGAGTTACAGTGTATGTGCAGGTACAGATGCATGTGTAGATGCAGGGTAGGTACATACATAAGCACAGGTGTAGGTAAGTGCAGGTATAGGTACAGATGTGGGTGTAGCCACAGGTGGAGGTATAGATGCAGATATAGATATAGATGTACACACGTTTTTCCCTTTACACAGTGAGCTTCTTAAAGATACAGATTCTATTTCATTCACATTCCCTCCAGCAACAGGTAAGAGTGCAAATACGGGTTCACTTTGAGGCCATAGATGAAAAGTATGTTCCCGTGACAGCATAAACCTAGACAAAAGCAGGTTGTCCACACTGCGAGGGGGATCGGGTGGCACCGGGCAGTCCTGAGTGTAGGGAATCGTCAGTAAAACCAGACAGTGCATAGCATGCGGCCTGCAGGTGGTGGCCCGGCGAGTCCCATGGGAAGGTCACAGAGGTCCAGAGACACTGCAGCTTGCATGGAACAGAGTTTGGAAAAGTACTTAGCAATTATATGGCTGCAGGGGCACAGAGGTCTGAGTTCCAGGTGGGGCAAATGTATGGAAACGTATGTGTCCATCTTGTACGACCTCGAGCAGGCCAGGCTTCATGTGGAGTCCAGCCATCCGCTAGGGCTTAGTGGCGGAGGGCTCGGTGCCCATTTCAGGTGGGAACTCAGCCATACTCTCTCAACCCAACATGCTTCTCCTCCTCCGTTCTGCACGTCAAGTCCTCTTTCCAGCAACGTGTGTCTTCCCTGACCCTCCCTTCTTTCCCTGCCAGCACTTCTGTGGGTGTGTGAGCACTGGGAAAACCAGCCTCAGAGACTGTGTGGCAGGTGTTACTTAGTGACGCCACCGTGAGGGCAGACTGTATTTGTCTCCATCCACCACTAAACTGGGATGCAAAGAGAGCAAAGCTCGCACATGACCATCTTGGTTTCCCCCCTTAGCACTACCCTTTGCACCTCGGAGCGTTCTGGGTACATAATAAATGTCCAAGGAAAGGGCAAACCCAGAGAATGCCCAGTGGCCACCTGGTGACTTCGGTAGCGATTTCTCAGCGTGCATCAATTGTCCCTCATCATCCTAGAGCCTCGCTCTGTGGATTCACTCTACGGGCTCAGTATTGCCACGGTTGACTCCAGAGTGCAGGACAACGGAGCCGCACTGACCTTCAAAGCAGACGCCATTACTGTACTAGGGAAAATGCAGCCTGAACATATGAGTTTCCTTTGCTGTTTGGCTACGTAAAAATTATCCACTTGAGCCAGAAATGGCAGATACATGTATTTATTTATTTGGATTTAGAATGAGCCCCCTACCCTTAGATTTTATGTCAGTCAAGGGCATGCTAAAGTCACCTGAGGAAACAGAACCATTGATTTATACAGAGACCATGAGTGGAATTCTTTCTGAGCTCACTCAGGTCCTGAGTTCAGAGTGGCACACCGAGCATGTGGGGCACTCCTGACGACTCTGTTTGTCCCCTAGAATTCTTCAACGACCTGGATTTGCTCATGGGGCCTGTCACCCTGCACAGCAGCATGGAGCACCTGGTCCAGTACTCCCAGCAGGGCCTGCACTGGCTGCGGAACAGCGCCCACCTGCCGTAGGGACCTCACCCTCGAGCCAGCTGTGCTCTCATCTCCACGGACCGCTCCAAGTTTCTGGACACTGTGCTACTGAACTCCCCAGCCACAGCATTTATCAGACTGCAGTGAACATTTCCTCGGCATCGAACAGTGACCTTTTCCCAGGGCATGTGTGTTTGTACGTGTGGATATATACAAAGCTGCCTGCGTGCGTGTGTGTGTGTGTGTGTGTGTGTGTGTGTGTAAGATACACAGCTCTTTGGCACACATTTGTCTACTTTCCATAGCCCCAGGCTAGACAAAGTGATCAGAGATTCCTGATTAGAGGAAATACACACATATACACACATTCACAGGCACATACTTTCTATCCAGTGCTAAACCATGACTTCTTAGAAAAATTCAACCAAAATCTCTTAGGTTAGTTATCCAGGTGCAATACAGCACACCAAAAGCTTAACTGCCAGTTAAGGTGAACCTAGCTCTTATATTATTGATTACTTTCAGTATTAATATGCTATTCCCTCATTATTTTTGATCAGTGTGTATTAATGGATAATTGAATCATGAAGGCAAGTCACTTATTTTTGTGCCAGAACTTTATTAGATTGCATGTTACCAAATACCCTGCCCTTCCTCTTACGCTGTCCCCTCCATCCGTTATTATCAGTTAGATACATTCCAAGCAAATGGTTTGATTCCCACAAGCCCTCCTTGCCCCACCCCCAAATTGTATGAAAATGGCACCAGGATTTGGTGAAAACTCAATGTCCTTGAAATGTAACACACACGAAAGCGTCGATGACAGTTGTTTCAGAGCTCAGTTAGGAATCGACGTCTGTACCCATGACAGGTCCCCCAAGGCCAAGCGTTTCCTCCTCTTGCCACTGTGACCCAATGGCTGTAGAGCCACGTGGCTTTTGTCAGCCAATATGTTTCAAGTCTTTTTCTCTCCATGGTAGATTTCATACAAACTTCCTTCATGGCCAAAGGAGGACATTACCTAGAATGTCTCTTTGCTAGGAGCCCAGCTGTTGCTTCTCAGGCTGGGAGCTATTTGTGATCAAAATGCTGTCCGATTTTCACACTTCACACAGAATGTGCCTCTGCAGGCCTTTGGGGTGTTACAATTTGGGGGATGATTTTCAGGCTTTGATTAATAAGCTGCTTACAGTGCAGGGAAAGTTGTTACTGCAAGAATCGCTGTTCTCTCTGCAGTAGCAAGGACCAGAACATCTTGCTTATATCTTGCGCATCTGGTATGTTTACATCTTACCACGGTTCTTTTTCTTTCCTTTTTTTTTTTAAGTTTACATTTTAGTTCTTGATCTCTTGTTTACAATGTTTGTCTGAACATTATTTTATGGCCTAGAGTTAGTCTTCTTGTTAAATATATTTGGATATGAAATATTGGTAAAAAGAAAACTCTTCCTGAGAAGAGAAGTTGTATCTTGCCATACTTTGAAAACGTAAAAAATAATATCTTTGAGTTACTTGACAGAATTGTACTGGATCGGTCTAAGAGACAGGTGAGGCAGTCCCTGAAGTGAGCCCTTGTTCAAGATGATGGTGGCACAGAATATGTTCAGTAGATGCTAAAATATATCTTCACTGATCTTCTGGGACATTGGTTGCAATGTTAACATTTTTGTCAGCCTGACGCACAGGTGGGAAATAAGACTGCTGTAATTCCCGAGTTCGCTGCATTGCTTCAAAAATATGCAAAAGATTGAACAACTTTGGTGCTTTGAAATTAGTTGACAAGGAGCAAGTGAAATTTGCATTCGGCTTTGACCTTCAGGTACTTGCATATATTAAAAATACAAGCTGAGTATCCCTTATGCAAAATACTTGGGACCAGAAGTGTTTTAGATTTCACATTTTAGAATAATCACATGTACATAATGAGATATCCTGGGGTTGAGACCAAAGCATAACCGTGAAGTTCATTTATGTTTCAAATACGCTTTTCTACACATCATCTAAGGCAGTGGTGGTGAACCTAGGGCACAAGTGCTGCAGCCAGCTGTTTGTTATTGAAAGCTCTAAAAGGTTCGCCATCACTGGTCTAAGGTAATTAATCTTATACAGTACTTTTAGTGCACCAGTATTTTAACTGTGAGAGTCACATGCAGTCAGGGATAGAATTTGCCACTTACAGAGTCATACTGATGTTCAAAAGGTTTTAGATCATGGAGCATTTTGGACTTTGTATTTTTAGATTAGGGATGCTCAGCCTGTATTTCCATTTCCTGTTTATCCATGTGACTTGCTTCTTCCATCCCTTTCACTAATTGTTGGCAGACTTCAAGATCCCATCCTATGCTAGGGTTGTGAATCTAACAAGTCATTTTGAACTTTTCTTTTTTCTGCAGGACTGAGGTTTTGCTCCACTTACTGGTGAATTCTGATGCAAAGTTCAAACTGTCACAGAAAGCGATGACCCTTGGGGTCTGCCATGCTTTGCCAGGGAGCTTTCCTCTTCCTGCCCATCTTTAAAGTTGCAAGCCTTATAGAGCACCCAGGGAAACCCCATCTAACTGTGCACATGGCCTCTGGCTACTTGTGGTGGCATTGTTTTATTAACATGATGACCACCTGTGTTTCCCAACAAAACCTCTAGAAGCTGGTCATTTTGAGGGATGGTCAGAGCATGCAGGTCCTATCAGTGCCTCCCGTTCATCTGTACAGCATGTCAGGGCAGCAGTTTCTGTTTGGTGTAATGATTTTGGTAAGGAATCATCTTCTGATTGTTGCTTGTGAAAGTGATTCATAATTTGTTCCTTTTTTTTTAAATTTGGTTCCACATGGAAACATCTTTCTTATGTTTGCAGATTATAATAGTGATACCTGTTCATTGTAAAAATTCAAAAGTAGAAAGTGCAAGTCTGAATGTCAGAAACAACCACAGCTCACAGTTTGATGTACCTTCCAGAGGGTCTTGCATTTAAACATGTAACATTTATGACCACTTCTTTGTATTGGAAGACATATTCTTTCCTCAGAAGTGTAACACAAGTTCAACTGACCTTATCTGTCGTGACCTGAATGGAAACCACCCTTTATCACTTGGCTAGAATTATCTTTGAAAGAAAGTAGCTCAAATATATTCCTGATCAGACTTTGGCATCAGTTACGACTCTATGCAGATCAAACTCATGTGCAGAATTGTTCCTGGAGAGAGGTCTGGTTGAAACAGGTACTTCTGGAAACTTTCAAATTGCAAATGGAAACTCGGACCCACTATCTAAAGAGGAATGTACAGGAAAAGTAATCTAAAGAGTTAACAAATTATGTACTAGATTGAACCGTGGAATGCAATGCAATGAGACTTTCTGCACTAAAGCTTACCCTACTATGTACAACAATGATGTGTGTATTATAGAACAGTGATGTGTACATTTCTGACACCCCATACATGATATACACAGTTTGTATAAATGCATACATTTAAAAATATATATGTACAATACAGCTAACATAAACTGTGGTACACGTGACGGATATTACTAGTGCCTAATATGGAGTATAAGTCACTGCGTGCTCACATCACCTTGGAAGTGCAGTCATTGTTATAAAATTAATCAGTGCAGCCAACATTATTTATGAAACACATCTTTGAAACTGTGCAGTAGCATATACATATATATTTTTAAATAACATTTTTCACAGTTTTCCAGAGTTACTGTTGAAATCTGTATCACCAAAAAAAAGAAAGATTTTTTTAATGATGTAGACACTCTTCAGACCCAGTTATCTGCGTGTGATTTCCTGTTTGTAGATACCCGAGAGACTTCAGCGGTCAACAGCCTTAACGCATGTACAGGATATTATTGTGACTTAATTTATCTGCAGTTTTTAATCCATGTGAAATTGGAATTTATAAACGGACTTGGATTAAATATGTCTGCCTTTCTAAGGTTGCAAGCGTTACATTAAATGATCTATGTTGTACATGAGAGAAATCAAGTTGTATGTTAAAAAAAGTCCACCCATTTCTGTGAATATTTTTAGGAGGAAATCTTAGAATTGAAATATGTTCAAGTCAGTGTTTTGGCTCCCAACTCATAATCTCTTTATAAGCAGCCTCCTTGTTTCATGAATGTTTTCGGTGTGACTCCCACGGATTAACATTGCCAAGTCTGATACTTTTCTAATCCCACGGATTACCATTGCCAAGTCTGATACTTTTCATGGGAAGAAATATGCTTTTCTTCACTGTGACTGTAGTTTACTACTTGTCTTTCCATATCCAATACTGTACAGTATGCATATGTGCACATGTACACACACACACACACACACACACACACACACATGAACACCCCAGTGTTGCACAAAGCTCTGACTAGGAAACTTCAGAGCTTCATTCTGACGTCTATGGACGGGCGCCTGTTCAGCCAGCAGCCCTGGCGCTGTAATGTGCTCCATTCTTTCATGTCACACTTATTCTCTGACTTGTGTCCCAGGGTTTTCCAACTCAAACCAGCGTGGTAGAATTGTGCTCCCAACATCGGGTTAAGAAAAACAAGCGCAAATTCTGATCTAAATACAGAACCATTAGACCCGTGGCTTGCTGTGAATGGCTCCTAGGTGGGAGAGTTCTTATGAACCTCATTTTCCCTCTTACCTCCTTCCCTTTTCCTTCACCTTCCTAGGTTCCAATACCACTTTGTCTTTCCCCTACTACACTATCTTGCACAAGTCACATGTGCTTAGAGAGAACTCGGGACAGGTTTGTTTCCAGATGAGCAGTTGAGTCATCAGCCCTGGAGAGATGCAGCAGAACTCTGAGACACAAAGGAGGTCCTCCTCATGGAGGCTACTGTCCCCAAAGACTGCCAGGGCAAGTCCACTGTCCCACGCTTTCAGAGTTGGGCTGGGACATGCCCACACTGTTTTTCTCTTAGGCAGCTTTGCTTGGTACATGGCTGAAGTCTGTTTTTCAAGACGTATCACACTTTCCATGAAACCTGGACCAACCGGACTCTTGAAAGATTGTTTTCAAAGAAGAATAAATAAATAAAGCCACCCCATACACTGCATATCCAACTATTCAGAGCCAGAGTTCCTTTCCTCCGGTACCCATTCCCAGAAGAGCACACCCTGACAACACAGACACTTCCCATGTGAGATGTGTGTCCTCTGTCCAAATTACTTGTCAGAGGGGTTAACTTGTTTGCTTGGCATGAGGAAAATTACCAAACTCTGTTCTCCAACTAATTACATCTGACCACAGTCTTGGCTTTTATTATTTAATTGGCACCCTGAGGCAGCAGGGGGTAAATTTTGGGCTGTCTGCAAGGAGATTTAGATTTTCAGCTCTTACACTAATGGGAGTCAGGGGATTAAACCCCTATGTATTACCTGTAAAATCCACCTCTTGCAGCCAATTTTAAGGACATTGATCTGAAGAATGAATTTAATCACTAATTGCAAGTGAACACAATGACTAGCGTTTACTTCCAAGTGTCAGGAAGTACTGATGAGGCCTGAAAAGCTGAGTCAAGTCCTTGTTGTCTACCCATTGTAAAAATAGGAAAAGTTCATCAAGATTTTATCCATCTGGATATTGTAGCTCATGCCTGTAAGCCTAGCTACTCAGGAGGTTGAGGCAGAAGGATCACAAATCCAAGGCCATCCTGGGCAACTTAGCAAGACTTCCTCTCAAAATAGAAAGGGCTGGGGATGTAGCTGAGTGCTGAGGCCTTGGGTTCAATCCTCAGTACCAAAAAGAAACAAGAAGGAGTGGAGAGAAAACTAAATATTTTATCCACTATGTAGAATAACACCAGTACTTAGAATTTTCAAATAATGTTCAACTTCAATAAAATTATGATATTCCAGGTTCCTTACTGTCCTCCATTGCTTTTTCAATTTTTCATCCAACAAAACTGATTTCCCCAGTATTTATGATCTTTCTTTCTAGGTGTCTAAATGAGCAAAGAAAAAAATCCCTAGCACAGAAATATTCATTACTTGATTAAAGCACATTCCACCCACAGCAGACAAAGGTGTTTGATCTTTCCTTTTTCTTTGGGGTTTTTCCTTGGGTGGTGCTGGGGCTTAAACCCAGGACCTTGCACAAGCTAGACAAGCACTCTGCCACTGAACTCCTCAGCCCATTTTTTTAAGTTTTTGAGACAGAGTCTCACTAGATTGCCCAGACTGGCCTTGAATTTATAATTCTTCTGCCTGTCCCTCCAGAGTAGCTGGGATTACAGGCAGGTGTCACTACATCCTATGGTATTGACGTTTTTTAAAAACATTTTTGGAATCTCCTCTGTTACTTTCTTCCAATAGCATGAGTGCCTAGTGTGTGGCCCTGCCATTGAGATGTGAGTAATGCTAAGCTTAGAATCTGATCTTTAGTTACAGATACCTTCAGAGCATCACCTGCTGTCACTGAGGCCCTTTAAGTAATGAACTAACAATACTGACACTTCCTTTGAGTAACCGGAACACATTATTATGCGTTCTGAAGTTCCTAGAGCTTCCAGTTCAACCCAAAAATGTCCTCCTCTGTGAACTGGGGTGGTGGTGGTGGTGGTCGGTGATGATGATGATGATGATGATGATCTAATTTTCATGGTTATTTTTTGTTTGAGACAGGGTCTTTCTTTGTAGTTCAGGCGTGGCTTTGAACTCACTCACTGTGTAGCGCAGGCTGGCCTCAAAGTCGCAGTGATCCCCCTGCCGCAGCTTCCCTTTGAATGCTAGGATGACAGGCGTGCGCCACCATGCTCGGCTTCCTTCTAAATTCTGTGAGTCAGATTTAGTATCTAGACCCTTTGGTGGAACGGTGCCTAGAAACAGTGGGGCTTAAAGAAACACAGCTTCAGTGTAGGAGCTCACTGAAGGGAGGAATGAGAACCTTAGTGGGGTCTCCTCCTTTGCCTTGCACAACTCTGTGCCTGCATTTGCCCTGTGAAGTGTAACTCTGAACACACTACCTCCCACAGTGAGTGTGAGGACAGGCAGATTTGGGCCATCATTTTAAGATCCATGTCACACTCAGTGGAGTTTAAGCATTACTGTAGGAACCGAGGTGAAGGAAATACACTAGTTCTGTGGCAGGATCGAGATCTGACAGCGGGGCAGTCAGCCCCCGCACCCCATGGGACAGGAGGGTGGCAGGAGCACCCAGGACGGGGAACAGAGAGGGAGCTCCTCCACATGTGTCGCCAGCCACTGGTCCCTTCCTGGCTGGAGCAGGACTGTTAGACCCAGGGCTGGACAGCAGATCCACCTCCTCCTTCCCATCCAGCCCTGGCCTTCAGTGGGCACCAGCTGAAAAGGAAATAAGCCACACTGGGTCCAGGCTTCCAGGTTCACCTTCGCCCATGGGCACCACAGTTCAGACGTCACCGCAGAGCCGGAGGCCCATGGCACAGTCTCCTGTGGAGCCCGGGAGGCTGGGTTCTGTGTCTTACATGAGTCTTGAGTCTTACGCCTCCGGTGCTGATTACTGGGAGGTGCAGTGGGGACAGGGTAGGGACAGCTGCTCCGGGGGGTCTGTGCCTGAGAAAGGAGATACGCCACAGGGGGCTTGGGGATCATGCATGAGCTCCAGGAAAGAGGAAACCTCTCTGGGGAAAACGAGTGATTTTTTCTTCTCTAGTGGGTTCTGTTGCCTCAACATAATCACGTAATTATAGGTGAAAGCTTAGTCAGTGTTCGGGGAGGGGAGATCGTCAACATCTGTAAGAACTCACTGATGTCTGTCATCCCCAACTAGACGCTGAACCTTCTGACCCCAACACCCAGACACAGACTTGCTATCCGGCTAATACAGTCTAGGTATTTCATTCCACAAGAGCCAAAGCCCTAAATGGTCAACTGACATTTCCAGTTCTTATCTAATATTTATATTCTTTACATACAGGGCAGCCAGTGCCTCTTTTGTGTATCCCTAAGTCAGTCCTTTGAGCTGAATCATGGTAATCATGAAATATTCATTCCCAAGAGCTTCTTCATTTATACTCACTGACAGCCCCTCTCCAAGGCTTCCCCAATACAAAGAGACAATGGCCAGAGGTCTCCAGAGATCTAGCCTGATTGAAGCCCACATCAATATTAACACACTTTTCGCAGGTACACAAGACTTCGCCCTGTAGGAATTCTGGGCATTTAGATTGAAGGGAAAAAAAACTGTAGGCCACCACACATGCTCATTAGCAGAAGAAGCTACACCTAGACTTTACCTTTTCTCAGGCGAAAATAAATATTCCTGTGACAGCATAATAGTTACTTGCTTTTGCAGTTCTGTGAAAATTTAGTCATTCCCATGAAGTCTGCTTCAGTCAGTGAAAGAATTTTTAAAATCTGCCATTTTTCCCATGCAATGCCATCTTGGAGGGGTATGTGTGGATCCAGCCACTCAGATTCAGCACTCCAATATCAGAGGGCTCGTGTGTCATGTTACAGAGGTCTTGGGAAGCTGGTAGCAATTTGGGACCCTGTTTATCCTCTCCAAGACTCTACCAGTGATCCAGCTTTAGCTGTCCAAAGAACAAGTTATAGGATCTTCGACTGCTCTTCCCACAGGAAACAGGTTTCAAGAAAGGAAGGGGATTTGGAGTAAGACAATGCTGCACAGTCATTTCAGTTGTGAAAATATATATATCACAGCACTGATGAGCATGCTGTGTTTATTAGGTCTGATGCCATCACCATATTTTGCCTCGTTAGTCCATACTGAAATAGCTCATTTGCTTTGGTTGTGTGATATTCATTTGTGGCTTCTTGTGAGTGTGTTTGGATCTGGTTATGGAGAAAGCCCAGAATCTATGTTGATTCTGTATTAATCCAAGTAGCAGTTGTGATTCTGTTCAGCATCAACATTACAGACTCTACCACTGATTCAGTTGTGTGCTCTTTATCTGTGTCCCTGTGTGATAAAGATCTTAACTAAGCAGCTAATGAAGATTATTAGTACCTGGGTTCAATCGCCAGCACCACACAGGGGGAAAAAAAATAGACCAGT